ATTTATTTATTTATTTATTTATAATGATACATAAGTTTTTCAGACACATTAAGTTGACATCAATGTACATTCTGAATTGGAAACATTTAACTACTGTGAACTGCTTCCTAATTTCACAGGAGACACATTTTTGAATCAGTGGAAATTGCATTTGCATTGAACGTTCATTTACTGAATGTAACTGGAAACTGTGTGCATTGGAACACAATAAATATCATTAAGTGTGGGTTTCTCATACTTGTGTGATACCGGTACATATTTCTAGTAACCACATTCTCTGCTGATGCTCATATTTTCCTGTTTATTTTGTCCGATTGATATATTTAAATATTCTCCACCATTGAATGCACGAACAATTTCATAGTTTATTGCGAAATGGTTCAGAACTTGATATTTATAATTATTTGAGCCATTTTAAATCTAAGGTACATCATTTAATTCTCGAAAGTTAAATTCAGAAATTCAAATGTATATGTAGTTTATCGTATATTTTAGTATGTTATTTATTGTATTTTGATGTATGTGCGAGCGAGGAGCCTATAAATGGGACTTGTGCCCTCAGGTCTTCGCAAATAAATAAATATCCATGGAGGGGAGGCTTTCAGCCGAAATGTGTTCATGGTTTCAGACAATTCAAACATGAAATATACATTACTCAAGATGATTGTATAGTGTAAGGTTATTTGACACAGAGTAATATAAACTGAGATAAAAGAGTTAATAAAAGGCAACTAGCAGATTGCTAACCAAGTAATAATGAATTAATAACTATTATTGCTATTACTTGATTTCCTATTTTTCCTTTTTAGAAAGTAATTGTCATACAATATAATGATAAAATTTGCACTGTGTGGCTCGATGTCTCACCAGGACCACCACCACCACGGCACACTGGCAACGGCCAACGTGTGGAGATGGTGGAGTACAGCACGGGGGATTTTCCTTTTCTCCCCCCCCTCCCTATAAGAACGTCAGTTAGCAATGTCTTTCATGTTTGTAGTCGACCACCTCCCGAGAGCTGGACGTCGCCACGGGAACCGCGGCAATGATGCAGGCAAGTAAGAAAGTCTGAAAAATTATTAGATGGTAATTACATGTACTTACATCAATTGAATATACTTTGAGAAGTCGGAATCCAAACGGCATGAGACCAATAAACAGAAGACTCTGCAACAAATATATTCACATATGATGAAACAATATTACAATATTTACATGTAGATCTTTCTCTCACATATGACATATTTAACCATTTCACCACCAGACTTACTTGCCCAAATTTGTCTCCAATCTTTCTTATATTCTTTAATAATTTCTAGAAATTAATTTTGGAGCCAACAGACAAAATTTAAGTCAATTTTCGATTTTTACTTATTTTTATCCCAGTTTTCTGAAGGAAAGTGCAGACTATTTTGTGAATTTGGGCTGAGAAGAGGGAACTGGCGGTGAAAAGGTTAAGCCAGTGATGCAACTAATTTGAATAACATGTTTAATAAAGTACAAAGCTCGGACTGAATTAGTAAATTGATGATTTTCCGTACAATTGCGAGATCTCGCGAGATGCATGAAAGACGCGTGTCGAACGTCTGCCGCAAAAATCGAACGATTTGATTTTGAAATTCGAGTTTCTTTATTTCGTAGCTCACATCGACCAGCCGATCTTCGACAGAGGAATATTGCTTTCGAATACCCTTACTTAATCGAAATTGCCTATCATCAAATGTGTACAGCACATTACTAAGCATGGAAATGTCCCCAAAATATTTTCGCGTTTGTTGAATCCCACGCGATGTTTGACGACAGAACGACGCTATCTTTGTTTGTCCTGTTTTTACGTTCGATTTCACACATAACGCGTGATTCTCGCAGTGAACGGAAAATGGTCAATTGAAGCAGCATTACCATCTCATGAAACAGATGATGCATAATCGTTATATATACACTTGCATGTCACGACTGCCGAAGCTGATACAGTGAACATCAATTGTTCATTATCACACACACAAAATTGATAAAAGATATTTGTTCGTTGGAACATGTGTTGTGTCCAAAACTAAAAACGAAATCAAGTTCAATAATCGATAAATTACAGAGCCACAAGAAATTGACAACAGATATGATGCCTTACAAAAGTCAATTTCATAATGACCAAGGGAATTACATGCATACACAAGTTTCCCCATCGCCTATATCAGAAAACAGACTTACCCATTTATTGAAGAAACTCATAAGTCGAGGAACTCTGGAAACAAACTAAAATAAAATTACATTTAAAATTTAAAGTGTATGTCTCTTATAGACCCCACCTTTTAAAACTTTTGGAAGCAAAACCCCCAAAACAGACAATTTCATAAATTACACATCTGCATCTACATTAAATTATTATATTATACTCATCTTTTTTATTGTTTGAATCCAAAAAAATAACAAATATTATTAATAGATCTAAGACAACCAACAGGTTAACAGTATTTCAAATCTAATGCTTCTTGACAAAATGAAATGACCCGCTGAAGGATTTTATATACACTAAACGTCTTGTTTCTGGGTCTGATTCGTGAGTCCTTACAACTTGCATAATATCAAATTTGATTGTTTTTATGAATTTCCTAACATTTTTACATGAAAACATATATCAGTTTGTGAATGAATTTACAAAGAACCAATAACTTGTTCTAAAATGTATTAAGTTAATTAAATAAGTAGAAATCTTACCTGGAAAACAGAATGATGGATAAACCATAACATGCCTTAAGAGAAACAAAAATTCAGTCAAATTAACTACTTCATATAAAGTAGTGAGGATAAAATGGCATGGCGCCCTCTAGAGGCAAGATATTATTTTTTGTTTTTTTTAAATATTCATATAATTACATTGTAAATTAATTTACATTCACACAAAAATGCAAGTATTCAATAATAATGTACAAAATCCTGCTCAGTGCATTATGTATTTTCTGTGTTTTTTTTTTATTGAAAATATTCTTTTTTTATATATTATTCCATGTTGCTGCCACCAGAATACATTATATTACTTCTAACTACATCTGACCAAATGACAACAGTTTCCATTGGATCAAAAACCAATCAGACAACAGTTCTCATTGGATCAGAAGTCAATCAGATAACAGTTTTCATTGGATCAAAAACCAATCAGACAACATTCTCATTGGATCAGAAGTCAATCCGATAACAGTTTCCATTGGATCAAAAACCAATCAGACAACAGTTCTCATTGGATCAGAAGTCAATCAGATAACAGTTCTCATTGGATCAAAAACCAATCAGATAACACTTCTCATTGGATCAGAAGTCAATCAGATAACAGTTACAATTGGATCAAAAACCAATCGGACAGCAGTTCTCATTGGATCAGAAGTCAATCAGATAACAGTTTCCATTGGATCAAAAACCAATCAGACAACATTCTCATTGGATCAGAAGCCAATCAAATAACAGTTCTCATTGGATCAGAAGCCAATCAGATAACAGTTCTCATTGGATCAGAAGCCAATCAGATAACAGTTCTCATTGGATCAGAAGCCAATCAGATAACAGTTTCCATTGGATCAAAAATCAATCAGATAACAGTTTCCATTGAATCAAAAACCAATCAGACAACAGTTCTCATTGGATCAGAAGTCAATCAGATAACAGTTCTCATTGGATCAGAAACCAATCAGATAACAGTTTCCATTGGACCAAAAACCAATCAGACAACAGTTCTCATTGGATCAGAAGCCAATCAGATAACAGTTCTCATTGGATCAGAAACCAATCAGATAACAGTTTCCATTGGATCAAAAACCAATCAGACAACAGTTTTCATTGGATCAGAAGCCAATCAGATAACAGTTTCCATTGGATCAAAAACCAATCAGACAACAGTTCTCATTGGATCAGAAGCCAATCAGATAACAGTTTCCATTGGATTAAAAACCAATCAGACAACAGTTCTCATTGGATCAGAAGCCAATCAGATAACAGTTTCCATTGGATTAAAAACCAATCAGAATGCATATTACAGGTTATTTTCGAATAAAGCTTTCTCTAATTGGTTGACAAATCCCATCAGAGAGAGAAGCTACATAAACATGAATCAGATTGACACACGATTTACATAGATGGTCAAAATTAAAAGTGACCAGAACGATTATCTACATCAGATTTGAATCAAGCTGAGTTAGGATACGAGAAATTAAATCATTTTCAATAAATGTTCAGAACATACCTACAGTAAGAAATGTTGCTGTGTATATTAATATCAAAGTAGATTCTTTCCACATTGCATCTGCCAAACTTTCAGCAGCGGTTCTCTGTTCTGTACTTGGAAACATTTCAGTACTTCAAAAAAAAAAAAGCAATTATATTAAAGATTCAGGTATCACAAAAAAAAAAAGTAGTTGAGAATAAATGAGAAAATAGACAGTCACTTCAGTTTGTAAACACTTAGCTACATGTGCATAAATGTTGAATACATATTTTTTCTAATACTTGGTTATTTCACGATTTAGTTAACACAAAAACAGATAAAAGCCTCCACAGACATAGTAAAATTAATGGGAACAAATCATTGTTAATGACTCAGTTCCCTTTGCAATTAGAGAAACTGTTATTCATGTCTAAGTTAAAGGGCGGTATTCGTCGTGCCACACATGCGCAATATATATGGGTCTCATATGAACAAAGATGGCGACTTTGACTGTTTCGCTGATCAATTAGGTGTACAAACTGAGACGTTACCGACTTTTAATTAGGAAATTTTAGATGATTGGAGTTATCAAAAGAATCACTGGCGGTAATTACATGTAGTACCGGTACATTAGTTGCACTCAGGTCAAACCTCATAATTGTGATTCCCATTAGAAGAGCACATTGGATTGTGAAAAAATTAATGTTTATCAACACAAATGTTGCACATGCACAGCGCGACGACTGCCGCCCTTTAAATTAATATAGCCAAAAATAAGATAGCTCTAAATCTATCATCTTTTATCTGATCACAAATTGAATTGTTATGAACATGTATTGCTACATGCATGATATATGCAATCAAATTGATTATGGTAATGGTCATGTGACCAGGTAAATTGTTTTTGAATTAATTTGACTGATCTTGTATAATCGATGTCAGATTTAGTTAATGACTTCTAAATTTGCAATTGAATAATTTATACGGTAATATTTCAATTTCTCATATTTGTGCGATTTTTTGGATTGAAACTCATTTAGAGTGCATATCGCCAGTAGCGTAAATAACAAAAATGACAAAGGATGTCCAAAATACCACATTTTCAAAAAAACAAGGTTGGCCCTCCTTGCTGGTTCATTTTTTTTATATGCAGGTCTATATTTCAAACAAAAATAAAAACAATCCTTTTAAACCAAGTTACATTTCTTTCAAACAAAAACATGGTTTTGAATCTATGTTATTTTTTCAGTTCAGTGAAGTAATAAGTTAATGCTTACCATATATCTAGTATAATTAATGTTCCCACAATTGAAAAAACACCATCACTGAAAGCTAAATGGGGACAAGGATTAGATAACAAACAAATTAAACGATAGTAAGTGAGCTGCATGTGTTAATATATGTTCTTTGTCTAACCAAAAGCTCAGTATCTCATCCAGGTTTGGAAAATAAATACTCCACCAGTCTGAGAAAAAGTGTATAATTTTTTCGAAAAAAAGGGGGAACCCCAAACCAAATCTGTATACAAGCGGGTATTTACCTAATCATGCGTTGACCGCATCACAATTTTGTCTTGTTGATGTTCTATTGTTCCGCCACTCATTTTAATGTCAGCCATGTTGAAAAATGAGAGTGCTCAGTAATTCAGCAATGGTCAGGAACTTTTGGTTAGATATTGTTTGTGAATTCTCATGAAATCATTTCCAGTATAGATACAAAAGACATTTATAAAGGAATTCTGGGTTGGGAAGACAACATTTACGAGTGAGAGCACACAAGCCAAGCCAGGGTTCATTTATTTGGCATCGCCTCACCATTATACTTACAGAATTTCCACTATTAACCTGTGTTTGCTGTGGACAAAATCAAACTCCACGGCACATGCTCTGATGCATTCCCATGGCATAAAGGACACAAAGTCTAGTATTTTGACATGTTTCCATGGAAGATGGAACATGAAGTTGCATGTTTTTGGCAGTTAAGTTATTACGTGATATACGATGACACAATCTTTTGGCTTAAATTTTAAATGCTTGTTGTTGTTACCAAAATGTTGATTGATGGATCCAGCTTTTTGTCATCCAATCAAATCATTCAATTTAACTACTGTACGAAAAGCTGTTCCTAATGTGCATGGGTTCATGTCATGAATGGCTGACTTCAGCAAAACTGTGCAAATCCGATGATCACACAAATCGCACATACATGTAGTTGGAAATGTGAGTGATGAGAAAAAAAAGTTGAACGAAAATCACTCCAAAAATTGATATGAATCATGTGTCTAGATGAGATACATGCAGATAGCTTCTGAACTACAGATTTATGTAGATCAGAGATACATGCAGATAGCTTCTGAACTACAGATTTATGTAGATCAGAGATACATGCAGATAGCTTCTGAACTACAGATTTATGTAGATCAGAGATACATGCAGATAGCTTCTGAACTACAGATTTATGTAGATCAGAGATACATGCAGATAGCTTCTGAACTACAGATTTATGTAGATCAGAGATACATGCAGATAGCTTCTGAACTACAGATTTATGTAGATCAGAGATACATGCAGATAGCTTCTGAACTACAGATTTATGTAGATCAGAGATACATGCAGATAGCTTCTGAACTACAGATTTATGTAGATCAGAGATACATGCAGATAGCTTCTGAACTACAGATTTATGCAGATCAGAGATACATGCAGATACATGTAGCTTCTGAACTACAGATTTATGTAGATCATATTAATGAGTTATTTAACATCCTATAAATGCTTGTACCTTCCACTCTGTTTTTAATCAGCTTTTCTCCCAGTATTTTGTGTGTCATATATTTACAGCATGTGCCATGATGATCTTCTTCATTAGCTGCACTCAATAAACCATACATTAAAATGAATTAAAAAGGTGAAGACAAAATTAACAAGGTCCTATAACGTCCAATGTATATACCAAGTTTAAACAATATCCATCTGTAAACAGCCAAGAAATGCTTAATAATTTTGATGATTTTTCAGTACAAAAATGGCTGCCATTTGGCCATCCTGAATCAGATCGTGAAACAAATTGATGTGCATATGTATAATGTCATGTATGATGTATGTGTGAAGTTTGATTGTGATTGGTACAGGCATTTTAAAGATACAGGGTCGGACGCATGCATGCACGCACCCACGGAAGCACGCACGCACAGAGGTCAAAACATAAGTCCCCATTTTCGGACTGC